TCAAATTTTTATGATATCTTCAAATATATATTTTATTCAAAAATAAAAACATCATCACTTTCTTAAAATCACATAAAGTCATATTATAACATCGATTGAGATAAAGAATAAAATAAAATATTAAAATCACGATGTATCTCGTTGCATTGCGCGAGTACGCTTCTAGTATATATATATATATATATTATATTATATATATATATAACTCATAATATAAAAAGAGTTAGATTTGGAAAATTCAACTAACTCCGGACTCTTCTACATAGATCCACCAATGAGTACAAGTACTTCTCAAGTTTCACCTATTGAAAAAGAAATAGATACTTAAACGGAAAACAACGAGGTTACCTTAGCATACGTCAATCCTGATCATAATAGACCCGAAGGAATTTCATTATATTGCTTTTTTGACATATTACTAATAGTCGATTCATCGTCCGGTTTCTTACTTTTCCTTTTTGTTACCTTTATCTCTAGTTTCCCCGTTCTTTCTTACAAATGTTACAAACGAACGAATCTCTTTGGAGGATTATCATACCATCTTTTGCCCAACCTTGATATCTAAACTATGACGTCAAACACAAAAAAGGGTTAAGCTGCAGAGGTTCTTTGAATTCGTTAAAAATGTCCAAAAAAAGGTTTGATGATACTTGTCGTAAATTACGTACGCGATACCAACAGAATTGGAGCACACGTAAGGTGGGAATTTGTTTGATTTTGTAAACCAAAATCAACAAAGGTTCAATTTTTGGGAATTAATGGAATAAATAACACAATTGATTATAATTGTTTTTAGAAAAATAATATTTATAGTTAATTTTATTAAAAATGTTGTTACCGAATATATATACAGATATAATTGAAAAACCGCGATGCTCAGGTTTACAACTAATAAAATGCAATAACTAATTTACGAGTAAATTGACAAAATTAATTTATGGGGTGTTTGGGATTGCTTACTTGAAACAACTTATGTTTTTTTACAAAAACACTTATCAACTTATTATAAGTCATAAAAGTTTAACTTCTTCAAAAACTCCTTATTACCGATTTGACACATGTATAAGTTGTTTATCTAAACACTCAAAAGTGTATATTACCTGTGCCACACCGAAATAAGTCAATAAGTTGTTTTTATAAGCAATCCTAAACACCCCCTTAAATTCGTGTATATTTGTCATTTCATATATTTATTTGACTATAATTAAAATAATATTTGTTGAATGGGTTCAAATTTGAAATTTCTTAAAGAATCGTGGCTGATCTGAAAATATACGAAAAGTTGAGTGGCTTCCTAACGTAGACATTGACAGGAGATATTTGTATTCAAGTCCTTTGCATTTTAGCCGTTAAAATTGGTTGATAACAAAATCAATAACTGGTTCCTCTCCCCCCTTTCTCAGATTCTGCAAATCATGAGCAGCTGCTGTCTCTTCCACCATCAGAATCTTCTTTTTCCTTCACCAAATCTTCAACATGATATTCGCTATTTCAAAGTTGAATCTATCAGACAAGTCTCTGGTTGTTCAATTCGATTTCGAACCCTACCTAAATCATCATCCAGACAAAACCCCAGCACATCATCTCCACAACTCCCTGTTGAAAAACCCGGATTTGAATCCCGAATTGATTCCGAAGATGATGAGAATCTGGATTCTTATTTGCCTTCCGCTTCGACTTCATTCAACCCGTTCGTATCGTTCATTCAAGGTTTCAGGTAATATCTACTTGACATTCTTAACTTGTATCTGCGATTTTATCTTCTGACAGTTGTAGTGACAGAAGAGTCTATGTTTTACAAGAGTAGAGTTGGAGATGATGATACCTTGTTGATGGAAGTTTTATTATGACAAAATGCCTGTGTTTACTAAACACTGCTATCTGGGTGTGTAAATAGCAAGGGGTTGTTTGGTTGTTTTTCCATATTAAGTGGGTGTGTAAATAGCAAGGGGTTGTTTGGTTGTTTTTCCATATTAAGTCAAGTATGGATGCATGGGTATTGTTCAATGTCTGTTGTGCTGAATAAACTGTTTTTCAGAAATTTTTTTATCTTGAAGTGTACCCGGGAACAGTTAAGGCACTTTAAGTATTTTTTTCTATTTATTGATGTGTGATTTAGTTGTTTTGCTTTGTTTTTGGGTGCAGAGAGAAGCTTAAGTTCGATGAACTTGGAATGGAGATCATGTCAATTGCATTGCCAGCTGCATTAGCCCTTGCTGCTGATCCAATCACTTCACTTGTTGATACTGCATTTGTTGGTCATTTGGGTAAATAATAAACTTATTCTCATTATAATCTATGTGCCATTTAGTTTGAAACACAGGAATTTTGAATCCCAACAAGAAGTTAGCTGAAAGTGTCAACAATCTATCTTGGGAGGTGCTCCCCTATTGATTTCAGTTTTCAGCCCATGAGACTTATCTCATGTGACCCTCAAGTTAAAAGTTGGGAAAATCTCCGGTGGCCCCAGGGTAACTCGAATTGGGTAGCAAATCTAAGGCTTGACAAGATGAGCTACCCATAAGGGTTTTAGGCTCAACTTGTATTACCATTCTCATATATGCATGTGATGGGTTTGGTTGTTCATTGGTGTAGGCTCTGCTGAATTAGCTGCAGTTGGTGTTTCTATATCAATCTTTAACCTAGTGGCAAAATTGTTTAATATCCCTCTGCTCAATATCACAACCTCATTTGTCGCTGAAGAACAGGCAGTATTAGTCAAAGGTGATGATGATTCTACCATTATTCATAGCTACCTATTTCACAATTTTGCAGTTTGGACCACCTTGTTATATTATACATGATTAATCTAATGAAGGTTTTGCTTGATTTTTCTTTGTTCAGCTGGCATGGCTGACAATCAGAATAAGAAGTTTCTGCCATCAGTTTCAACTTCTTTGGCCCTGGCTGCTGCCTTTGGCATTGCAGAAACCATAGCACTTTCTCTTGGTTCTGGCTTCTTATTGAACACCATGGGTATACCTGTTGTACGTCTTTCGTAGCTATATATTCATTTAATGCGCAGTAACTACTTTACTTTCCCTTTCTTTCCTGAAACTTCATTTCTTTTGAAAGCAAGTGTCACATTCTAGTTATACTTTTAGTTCTTGCTAGTTCTACCTTTGGCGTCTCCATGATGGATTCTTGCCTGCAATTGCTAGTTTTCCCTGCCAGTTTATTATCACTTATCATATGGAATAGGATTTATAATAATTCCATGGTTTTTAGGCGGGGTGGTGGGTGGGAATGTTCTTGTTCAGTGCATGTAACTAGCTCAAGATGTATTATGGTGTTTGTAATTTTCCCTTCGAAAAGAGGACCTTTGAAGAGGCATGGATGGAGGAGCACTTTGACCCTTTCTGGTTTTCCACTTTGCCTAGAGAAGTAAGGCTCACTTGAATTCTTTGTCTACCCTTTACTTCTATTAAGGTATTTATGTTCTCATTTATAGCGCCAATCATTCATTCTTTCTTAACATCTTGAAGTTCAGAATCTAGTGTATTCATCCACTCCCAAACTAGTTTGAAAAAGAATTAAGTAACTGAAAAACTTACTATGGAAACCTTTAGTCATCTCTATATCCAAGATTCCTTCCTATTAAAAAATGCCTAGTTTCCTCGTCATTTTCTAGCTCGTTCTAACAAAAGGTATGCGGATCCTATCAACAAAGCTTTACAAATAAGTGTGAAACTTCATATGCTTCACACATCTCAAGGAGCTTAACTTTTTTCAAGTTACAATTACAGAGGATAGCCTGGATAAGAAAGGGGTACTATGGAGGTATGCCACTGCAATTTAGGATATGTATGGGCCAACAAGGACCTGTGTCAGGAAACCTTTGGGTCAGACAGAGATCTCCCGTGGAGATAGGGCTACACCAAGGTCTGTTCCTATACGCTGTAATTTTGGATGAGATTTGCCAAGGGATATGGAGGAGAGTCCCTTGGAGTATGTCATTCACGGACGATATTGTGTGGGTAGCGGAGTCGAAAATGGAGGTCAATGAGAGGTTGGAGTAGAGGCATGCGCATTAGCCCCTGTAAGACCGAATACATGATGTGCAATTTCAGCAGGGAGTGTATTGATGCAGGGGGTGGGGGTGGGGGTAGAAGTCAACACTAGAGGCAAAGGGTACCCCAAAAGGACAAGTTTAAGTACTTAAGCCCCATAATCCAAAAGGTGATAGAGGTAGATGATGACATAACACATTGCATAAAGATGGAGTAATTAAAATCGAGGGGCTGCCACTGGGGAGGGGGTTGTGTGACAAGAAAGTGATGCTAAAAATGAAGGGCAAATATCTACAAGGTAGTCATCAAACCAACTATGTTGTATAGGTTCGAGTGTTTGGCGGCAAAGAAGGTCCATGAGAGGAAGTTGGATGTTGCAAAATTGAGGATGCTTAGATGGACCTTTGGTCAGACCATGTTGAACAAGATACCGAACGGGGTCTTCAGAGTAGAGTCAGGAGTTGCACCTGGGGGTGTGTAGACCCGATCCAATTTAAACCAACCATTATAATCGGATGTCCAATCGTAATTGGATCAGATTGGATCCAAAATTTCAACATCCAACTTGGAGTGGTTGGTTCTTAGATGGAAGTTCAAAATCCAATAGAACTGAAATGATCCAATCTAATAACTATCCATATAAGGTGGTTTGGACACATTTCTAGGAGACATATGGCAGCTTCGTTGAGGGTGGTGGAAAACGTGACGGTCAATGGAGTGAGGAGGAGGGAGAACCTGGGTTGAGCAACTGATGAAGGATATAGCGGCCATAGAAATTTTCGAAGACAGTTCTCTAATAAGAGTGCTTGGAGGCCTAGGACGAAGGTAGCAGAGATGATGGTTTGTAGTTAGCATGGGTGGGAGGAAAGGAGCGGTGAGGTAGAACCATAGAAGGTAGGGGTGGCATACAGATTAATGGTATCCTTAGATTGAGGGTTGTGTAGCTTTGTTTCCTTGTACGAGCATTTGTTTTTGTCATGTATCATAAATGTTTGCTTCTAAGTAGCCTTGGTTCTTCTTTCCATTTTCCATATATCTTTCTCTCTGGTCTCATGGTCTTCTCTTTCATTTTTTTTCCAATTTATTCATATTTTATTGCTCACACTGTTCATAAACTGGAGGTCTTCATAGAAAAAACTCTACTCCTTGGGATAAAGGCCACTTACTCACCCCCCGAGAAGGGATATATTGGGGATTGTTTGGTTCGGTTTTAGCGAAGTTACAATTACACACATTTGTCTAACATATTCTTCTGATTGTTGTAAAACCACAAGAAACAACCTGTCTCCAAAGTGCAATATTTCATTGCAACTTGACAAAGGCTATGCTGTATCCTTTTTCCAGGATTCGCCCATGAGAATACCGGCAGAGCAGTTTACTTCGATAAAGGCGTTGGGTGCTCCAGCAATCGTATTAGCCTTGGCTGCACAAGGAACTTTTCGTGGCTTTAAGGACACTAAGACCCCTTTATATGCCATTGGCAAGTATTATTAGTCCTTCCTAGCATCTGCAACCATATTACTCTGTTTTTATGCATTAATAACTCCTAACATTTTACAGCTGCTGGAAACTTGCTAAATGTGATACTGGATCTAATATTGATTTTCTTTTCTGGACTTGGCGTTGGTGGTGCTGCAATTGCGACGGTAATTTCTGAGTACGTCATGCTGTGCTCATTCTTTTTCTAGTTTAACTGTAAAAAGCTGTTAAAAGTTATTTAATTTTCTCAATATCAAGTCTGAACTTGCTTGCAGATATCTGATTGCTTTCATCCTGCTATGGAAGTTGAATGAAGAAGTTGTACTAGTCACTCCAAATGTAGATGGTGAAAAAGTTGGAAGATATTTAAAATCTGGTATGTTTCCTTAAGCAACTGATATGTGAATCTGTAGTGACAATCATGAGTATTTTTTAAGATTTTTTTTCAGGTGGGCTTCTAATGTGTAGAAGCTTGGCTGTACTTGTTACCATGACTCTATCTACATCGATGGCAGCAAGAGAAGGCCCTGTGGCTATGGCTGGTCACCAGATATGCTTAGAAGTTTGGTTGGCTCTGTCTTTGCTCACTGATGCTTTAGCACTTGCAGGCCAGGTAACTTGGATTCAAGCATGTATATTTTTCAGTTCTTTTGTTTGGTCACAATTAGTGCTAACATTCATATTGTAAAGAGTTGGTATCTCTCATCCGGATGTGGGACTTGTCCTTTACCTCTGAGCTGAGAGAGTGCATGCCGTGTAGGAGGAATATGTAGGTGATCAGGAGATCTGCATAGATACTTTTATGAAATGGAGAATCAAAGATTATACTTGGAAGTTGATGTTAAGTTCAATGATGGAAATTCATTTCATATTCTTTTACAGGCTATTCTTGCTAGTAGTTACTCGCAAAAGAACTACAGTCAAGCACGCAGAGTAATATACAGATGTCTGCAGGTTAGGGATATACTTTCATAACTTGGCTTAAATTTTTTTGGCAAGAAAATTATCACCATTGATCCAGCTTTCTCTTTTGGGTAATGATCAGATTGGCTTAACAGCAGGAGTTGGCCTGACTTTTATCTTGGTCTTTGGATTCGGACAACTATCTTGGTTGTTCAGCACAGACTCGGAAGTCCTAAAAATTGCAAGGTCTGGTACCTTGGTAAGGAACTTGTACTTGCTTTAGACCCTATTTCTGTATAGTAGATCATTACAAATGGGATGCTGTCTTACAAGTGGTTTCTTGATGTAGTTTGTAGCTGCATCTCAACCAATGAATGCTATTGCTTTTGTTCTTGACGGGCTCTACTATGGAGTTTCAGATTTCAAATACGCTTCATATTCCATGGTACTTTGCTATTTCTGTACCTTTCATCATCATAATATGTGAAGTAGATTCTGATATATACTATATATCTTGAAGGTGGCGATTGGAGTAGTAGCTTCAGCATTCTTTCTTGTTATTGTTCCTGAATTCGGTCTTCCTGGGGTTTGGACTGGACTGTTTCTATTTATGACAATGAGAGTAGTGGCTGGATTCTGGAGGTAAACACGATTCCAAATGTCAAAAAGACTATGTATGGAATTGATGTTTTATTTGTGTACTTACTTTTCCCAGGTTAGGAACAAAGGAAGGACCATGGAAACTTGTTTACTCTGAAACTGACCAAGAAAGCTGATGCTAAAATCTTCATATGAAGTGATGATTTATGTTGCCATAAATGTTTTACTATCTCACAAACAAATCATATGAAGCAATTCAAGCCTACAACAATTGGTTTGAGATTGGGGTTTTTAGAAACCCAATCTATTGAAGGAAGCGGCCATGCAGGAACACAAGGGGGACCTTAAAAGAACACAAGTGGAGGAAGGATATGCACCCATTTGAGAGAACCTGGGTCGATATTTAAACAAACCTCTGTGATTTATAACTACAACTACAAGAGTAAAGAAGGTACTTACTTGAAATGAAACTTTTTTTTGTTAATTGTATACAGTTTAAAGTTTAGATGCTGTATCATAACTTGATCATCCATGAATAATGTCATTTTTCTTATCATCTTGTTTGTTTCTTCATTATTAATCTTGGTTATATTGGCAATTGCCTGTTAAGTCGAAACCAAAAGAGCTGTCAGGGGACATGTAAAAAGACTTGGACATAAACTATCATCACTTGGTCATGAACAGAATCCAGCAACCTCAAAATGCTTATAAACTTGCAATTCAGAACCAAGAACGAGAAACGGTTTCCCTCTGATGACAGTAAATGGCTTCAAATCATATAGAAAACCTACACAGAAGAAACTTGTTGACGATTTAGAGGCACACCAGAAAAGTATACACAGCACGAATCCTGGTTTTTGCCAACTAAAACAACAGCAGGTTTTTCAAAAACTAGTTGAATTTTACGAGACCAACTTCCAGTTTTCGACTCAATAATTTCTCGCTTCACAAACCTGAAACAAAAATTGAATTTAGAAACAAAAATTAGAAAGAAGATCTGCAGAAGGTTGAGGAAAATGTTTTTGTATGCACAAAAGTAATCCAATCATCTAAAGAACCTTAAAAGGGAGAACGGGTGCATGAACATTCCTTGGATATACATATGAGCATTAACAGTTTGATGAGAAATGTTATTCCATTGATACAAACTATCCAAAAGGTTGCCTTCTATTTGAGAAAATCAATTGAAGATTACAAGCAAAGAAAAATCAATCAGTCACAACCAAAACGTCGTTTAGACGGCTGATTAAGCTGGAAGTGATGGAGACACTTATGCAGGTGGCTGCTTAGGTGATCTAAGCGGGAATTTTAGAATGCTAATGACAGATGCTTCTTTTCCTCGTATATTTGCAAAGAGATAACATTGATGACTCAAACCACAACCTTCTTGTGCCAGAAAGAGAAATCTTATCAGTTACTATGTACGAATAATTCATGGCAATATTGATCCCATGGTATAAAAGTTAAAAGTTCATTTAGCTTCACCAGTTTTGTTTTTCATTTCCTTTTTACACTGAAATCCTACAGGCCCACAGACTAGAGACAAGTCAAGAAAATGATGTAACCTGAAATACCATAAATTACCTAGAAATCTGGTATGAAAAGTAGTATCACATATTTACTTCCCATTTCAAGCAGTCCAAAAGCCATGAAGCAACAGATTACGTACTTTTGTAGAACTACGAGACATTGAAACTTTCATATGCCTGTTTTGACTTATACAATCATATAGAAATAAGTAAGAAACAATACACCTACTTTTGGATGCAAGTCGCTGGATGTGCAGAAAAAAAATGCATGCAAGATGCTAAAAAACAGCAAAGAAGAATTTTATATCCATGGTAATCATACAAAATTCCATATACCCATAAAAGTAACTAAAACTATATGCAGGGGGAGAACTTCTAAACCGGCAACAATTGATAGAGTGACAGAATTATGACGAATAGAATGTTTTGACAAAAAGGTAGTCTTTCTCACTAGTGAAGATAATGTAGAACTAAATTCGGCAGCTTTCAAGTTTATAAGCCTTGTATCCAGGGGATCAGGTGCTTTAGGAATGTGACAAGTGTGGTGTTGACCTTACCCAAGTTTTTTTTACCATGAATACATGGGATATGAGATTGGGACATTGAAGTGACACTTTGATCTTCTGTCAGAAGAAACATGAAATTCACAATTTATAAGAATCATTACTAAGGCTAAATCTGAAATGTAAGTTGCTTTATGGTAACCATGGGTGTCCAGGCTAGCTTGTGCTCACATCAACTAATCCCATGGGGCCCTAGATGACAGCAAAGAAAAATCCTCAATGGCCCTAGGAAGACTCAAACTGGCGACCTATGGGGAGAAGCGGCCCCAAGGTCTAGCCTCTTTTTGCCAGTTTTTGCCTACAAGAGAGAAAGGAAGCAAGACGAGACAAAAAATCATTATAAATCTATAGTTTGGACTAAAATAAACACATCAAGTAAAAAGAAGAACAAGACTTGAGCTTAAATTGTGTCTAATTTATCCACATACATGTATAGAAACACACACACACACACATATATATATATAATTTATGTAACATAATAAAAAGAATCACTGATTCGGTTTTAGACTTGTATATTTTACAAATGGGGGGAGAAAATTCATTCTAGTTGATAGTTTTCTGATTTAAAGTCAAATTGATTTATTTTGAATGATTCAGTCATTGTGATTTGATGTAATCTAAGGTGCACTTATAGATCTGTCCTGCTATCTCTATCTCAATATTTCTCTTCACTGATTAAGACCTATGCTACCACTAGGTTATCCAAAGGCATAATGTGATACACTCCCCTCGGCTAACCTTTTGTTTAAATATCATACATCTTCCTTTACTAATTTAAATTTCAGAGATCATAAAACATTCATGGTCCCTCTACAGTAGCTATATCTCAATCATCTTGGGCATGAACCTAGTTTATTACAAGACTTCTTAAATCTCGGTAATATTGGCTTTTAATCATAAGACAACAGCATCATTCAAACACTAATTTGTGGGATATAGAGAACAAGAGTAACAGATCAATCACATACATAACTAAGATGAGGATTAAGCATAGATAATTGCACCAAGAGCCTCGACATGCACAACCTAAAACATGAGCATGATCTCATTCCAAGTATAGTTGCAAAAATGCTGTAGGCATCTAACATGGGTGTCAACCATTGAAGGACAATTGTAATGTCCAACCAAAAAGAAATTAACATAGAAAGACATCAGATACACCCAACAGAGGTGCAAGAAGGCGAAAAGAACATTCAAATTGACAAAAAAGATAATAGCCAACAAAGTACTTTTTGTTGCCATTTCTGTCAATTGGATGGCCATTTTTTTAACCAGGTATTTACTTTTAAAGCATTTTCGTTGTTGCCATTCTTCAACACTAGGAGCATTCTGTAGCCACTTTTAACCAACTCGAGCGCCTTTAAGCCATTTTTCAACTATCTTTTGTTGCCAACTAGAGTGTCTTGATAACCTCTCAACCAATTGGAGCGTTTCTAAGCTGTCTCAACCATTCTTATTTACCATTGCCAACTGAAGTCTTTTAGCCATTTTTATTTCTTAACCAATGGACTTTAAGCCATTTTCAACCATTTTTTGTTGCCAACTTCCCTAACAGGAGCATATTTAACCAAATAGAGTGTTTTAAGCCATCCTCAACCATTTTTAGTTGCCATTTTCTGCCAACAGGGCTATTCTTTTTACCCATTATGAACCAACCAGACTGTTTTTAAGCCATTTGCAACCAACTAGAGTGTTTTTAAGTATGTGTGTTGTCTAGAACAGATGACAATGGTTGAAACCATTCCCTTTCTCAAACGCCATCCATCTCACTAGAGTAGATTCCATTTCTAAATAAATCAAGGAAAGTACTTAAAACTTTTACCTCAAGGAGCAAAACAGAACACATGAACGTCATTCAAATCCTGCCACTTTGTACCTCAACTTCATATTATGATTTTCCTGTAAATTATTATAGAAAAAACACCACCATTAACCAAGCAAAACAAACCCTTAATTATGAAAAACAATCATTTATTAACAATATTACCAAATCCTAAAACAATTGAACACCCACACTACCTGTTCAAGAACCCTAGCAGACGATTGTTCAACAAGCTTAGCCAGTCCATTCAATTTCTTGATCATATTATTATACAACTCCTCCAATTCAGCAGTGTAATTAGCTGCCTCTGAACCCATTAAAATTTTCAATCTCCCAATTTTGAACCCTTCATCACATAATGTTCCAAACTTTTCCTTCTCCTTTTCACCCTCATCTTCAACCATAGACTCACAATTTAAACCCTTCACCTGGAATGGCAGATCGGGAAACGGAGAGTTGGGTGTGAAGTTACCGTAATGACCTCGGAAAGCTGGACCCAAATTCACCACATCTAGGGTTTTGGGGTCAAAGGAATCAGTTGACGATTGAAACTGAAAAGCTTTGTATTCATGGGTGTGGATTAATTGGTCCTGGAACGGCGTCGTTAGGAGGAAGAAAATGCAAGGGGGGAAAGTGTGAGATTCATGAGAGTTTTGGACTTGGGAAGAGAACTGGATACTGGATGCGAGAGCAGAGGTGACGGAGCTTTCTCTCATGGATGGCCGGAGGTGGGTTTTACGGCGGCCGGAGAACCAGCCGATGAGGCGATCGTCGGAAGATGAGGTGGAGAGAAGGTTGTTGAGTGCTGGTGTGTCGAGTTGGCCGGAAGCGGAGTAGAATGTGGAGGTAGAGGTGAAGGAAAAGAAAGAGGTGACAGTTGCGATGAGAGTTGGTTGATCGGAGGTGGTAGCGGCGGAAGAATCGTCGGAGAGAGTTAAGGGGGTGATGTGGCTTACACGGCCGAAGAGTAGGCCGTCGACATCGCCGGCAGCGGAGGAAACACGTTGGATCAAGGAGGCAAGGGTTGGGCCGGAGATTTGAATCTTGTGTAAGGAGATGGCATCCATGGTTGAGTCTGTGTCTGTGTCTGTGTCTGTGAGAGGGAGGGAGTCGAAAGAAATGGGATAATGAGTGACGATAGACTTTCCAAGATTGACATGTTTTCCCCCTCAGGTTTTTAACTTATGCAACTATCATCCTCTTCTTTCCAGAATATGAAATTCAATCCACAACAAATTGGACCAATCATGTTTCTTCCATAGAACTATGTATCTTGGATATGTTTGGTTGATAGTAATATACTACATAATTTGTTTTTGTGTTTTACCAATATGTTTGGACTCTTGCCTCTTGCACTTTGGATTCACTTGAGACATGCAACCTCCACCAACCCACATGATATGATACTACATAATAAGATACTACAAGCACAAATAAAATGATCAATTTATTTTTATTAACGATGGCAGATCTCTCGACCCATACACTAGTTGTCTGTAGGTGAAGCTAGCCGGGAATCCGATTACAATCTATTTAGGTTATTGACTATTGATTGTACACTAGTAAACTAGTGTGGAGTAAAGCTGTGTTTTGTACATGGGACATGACATAACAGGACAAAACTCAATGTTCCACATTTGGTGTGACATGGAACAGGACAAGAACTCACTGTCCCACGTTTAGTGCGACATAGGAAAAGAACAAGAGTTGGGACAAGGTGGGATATCGTAGGCCAAAAAAGGTTTTTCTTGTTCCACGAAAATAGGTGGATTAAGATAGGACAAGAATGAAACAGAAACTAAAATATTACTAATTAAACATCGTTTGATTATATAACAATAACATGATATTTGTTTTAGTGGTCATCATCGCTAGTTGCAGCTGCTGCCACGACCACTACCCACTATCATACCTACCTCCACAATGTAGGCCACAACTATATCCTCCACCACTATCCCACCATCTTCACGTCCTCCACAACCATAATCGTCCATCAATTACCAATGCTTCTACCTCCATAACCATTACTGTTGCAACAATCTTCACCGTACCTTCACCAATTGATAAAGATCTTCCAAACCAAATAAACATAATTTTTCCTTTGTATGAATCGGGTTTTTTCAAACTACTATCAATTGTATAAAAAATCCATTCAAATTTGGTATTATTTTTTATTTATGTATATGAAAATTGTGTAAAAATGTTTATAAATTAAATTATTTACTTTATTTGTGTTAATTATAACTATTATATGATGTATAAAATCATAAAACAACTTTTGAGGACAACTTGTCTAGTTTTGTTCTGTCCAGTCCTAGTCATACCAAATACCAGACAAACACTTATTCTATACAGTCCTGTTCCATCTAGTGTCACCCTCTTGTCTTGTCCAGTTCTGTCATATCCAATCATGTTTGCATACCAAACGCTTTCTAATAGTGAATTGTATACTGTGATCAATGAAAGATGTCTATGAACTTCCCCTATCTAGGGTTGTAGGCATAAGCGCTTATGCCCCTCCTTCCGAAGGGGATAGAGTGTTTCCAACAATTATGTTAAAATAGAGATTTTGATAGTTTTAGAGTATTTTTTTTTGCTCTAACGGTTATGCTATAATGTGTGATAAAATAGAGAAATTAAGAGAGAGAATGTGGAAATCCCCAAAACCTTGAGAAATCATTAAAACCCAATATTTAATAGAGAAAAATAATATGTTAATCGTTCTCGTCAATAAGAGGTACTGGAATTAATTTTTTTAGGAGAAAGAGATAATATTTTATTAAATGTATTGTTTATTTTAGTAATATAAATTAATGTTACAATCTCTAAAATAGAGTAGATGTTGGAGTTTGATGTAATTCTTTTTTAGAGATTTTGACTTTTGATACTTTATTTGTTGGAGGAAGGTTCCGTGTTCTAGGCCCCCTGTTAGCCTCAACCACTGAGTGAGTAAAAAAATGTCAACTTCCATTGGTGTCCTCGAAGGTAGGTTATGTGTGAGGCTGATTGAGGTTGCCGGTAATCAACTTTTTTGTCGAAATATAACATAGTTGTTGGACATACTCTAATAACTTTTATAGATGTCTATGAAAACTAGATTAGAACATGACTATAATAAGTGTTACACTTGTTTATGAACATCAAGAAATAGATTATACCTGCCCATAAATTAATTATTCGGGTATATCCAACATATCCTTGTCTCATTAGGAATCAAAGTTCAAATCTTGCAAGACACCTTTTATGTTACCACTTCAATCTTTTAGAAAAATGTTTCTAAATTCGGTTATAGGAGTTAAATGGTACATGATTTAGGATCTATTTTTCAAAGGTTTAGCATATATGTGCTTAACGATAATAGTTATCACATTCACTTATCTTGTTGAGTAAATTTCGTAACCATCAAAATAGATTGTTGGTATTTGATAAACATTTACTGAGTAAGATTATTTGTCCTTACTGTATTCGTAACGAGTAAAAGATTTTTACCACTTGTCATTCCCACCTGCTATGACGAGTAACACCCGATAAACCCTTAACCAATAAGCATTTAGTAAACGAGCGCCTATGATTTTGAACCCTATAAATAACAAAAGCTACATGTAATCTTTAGGTTTGGATGGCAAATTTGAATCTCTTTGTATTAGAGTAATTTAGTTGGTGTTTTGGTTTGGTATTAAAAAAAATTAATATAATTCCATACTAAAATAAGTTTTTGGAATTAAAAGAGAAGTTTTTATTAAAATTAATTCTCCAATTTATTAAAATAAGTAATTTGGAATTATTTTCACCACAAAATCACCTTGAAACTAGAAAAGAAACCCACCCATGTTTTCCCATCTCCATTTTCATTGGCTTCCTACCTTAGGCTCTTTCTTCGCAAAACATTTAATCATGGACTCCCCATCGCCGGCGGTCCTCCCCGTCTCTAACTCAAAAACAGGTGGCGCCGATGAATCTCAGCCCCCCGTCGCCACCCCTGCTTTCCGATCATTCATCAATCACATTACCGGAACTGTTCGCTCCGGCCTCTCAGAACGTCGTGCATGGTCCGAACTCGTTGACCGTACCGCCTTCTCAAAACCTGAATCCATCTCCGACGCCACAACACGGATCCGCAAGAACTATGCCTACTTCCGCATCAACTACTTCACCGTCGTGGCCGCCGTCATCGGCGTTTCTCTCCTTACAAATCCCTTCTCTCTCATCACCCTCCTTGGCCTCCTCGCCGCCTGGCTCTTCCTCTACCTCTTCCGCCCCACCGAACCACCGTTGGTGATTCTCGGCCGTACGTTTTCCGAGCGTGAAACCCTAGGCCTGTTGATCGTTTTGAGCATCATCGTGGTGTTCTTAACCAGCGTTGGATCGATCCTGATATCAGCATTGCTTGTTGGAATGGGTATCGTGTGTACTCATGGTGCATTCAGGGCTCCCGAGGATCTGTTTCTTGATGAACAAGACCCTAGTGGCTCCACAGGATTTCTATCGTTACTGGGCGGCGCCGCCTCCACTGCCGCAGCCTCAGCCGCTCCGATGATCGCTCCAACTCGTGCTTGATCTTGGATATAGATAAAGTATATAATAAATGGTATGAAAAATTGGAAATCCATTCATTGTTGATTAGAATGATTCATATTCATGTAACCTTTGATGCATCAATACACCCACAATGTAACACCAACATTTCAATCTTTTTTTAAAATATCATGAAACTGAATTCGAATATTTATATAAAATCATGTTTTTTTGGGGATCTTCCCACAAATGCATTTAAAGTTCCTGCGAATGCCAACTTCAGTTTATAAGGTGGAGCCATTCCATCCAAAGAAAGAACCCTGCAAACACACATATCACCAATCCATAAAATGCCCGAAAACACTCATCTTACTGTCAAAAAGCAATACATTATTCATATAATGATACAAATACAATTTTAATAAAATTGTACTCCCTCCAGTCTCGAAATAAATGCAACAAATTTCTTTTATCCCACCATTTTCCTTTCTTTAGATGACCATATGAAGGAGTGAAACTTTATCACCCACCCATTAACACAAATGTGACATTCTGTTGTAAACATAACCACTTTGCGCATTTCTAGTTGTACAATAATATTGTTAATTCAACTACAAAAGGGATTAGCTCACTCGCAACCCTTGGGATGATAAGAAGGATAGATTACAATCTTACCCCCGTTGGGTGCAAAATCCTTGTGGCAACACCAACCTCCCATAGGGTGATCGGGTATTGGTTCTAGGACACGATGGTGGTAAACCTACACCACATGGATTAGTGGTGCTTTCAGGTTGCAGATACCACTTCTGCTGATTTTGATTTTGATTGTAGTCCATAATGTTTCTCTATCTTATCATTCTGAAGGAGCGTTTTAGATTTTTGGCTAATAACATTAAGCACTTAAAATCCTTAAAAGTATCTTGTCAAATGTTGCATTTATTTGTTGCAACTGAGGGAGTATATGAAAAGCTTGTAAATCTTTTCTTTGATTCTAAAATAGTGAAGGGTGATTTACATGATCTAGGACTGGTGTAAAGCATGCAGACACTGTGCATTTTCTTGACTTTGATGAGCCTAAATACACAGGAAATTGAAATGAGAAGACACAAGTGCAAGACAAAGAAAGACATATCTTGAGAATATTGAGAATCACTTGCCTTGGTGTCGTAGAATTTCAGGAAGAATCGCGACTTGGGAACAGATAGCTTGGTCTCAAGAATTTCCGCAATCTCAGCACTTAACTTTTTGTTCACATCAGCATTAAGCCCCCCAATCGACACCAACTCACCATAGGCAGCTGGCTCCTCAGTACCTCCAAAAGCAATGGGTATAGAACCTTTCAACACAATCATCACATACTGTGCAACACAAAACCACAAGATCAGAGGCAGCATAAATGATTATCAAGTAATTGAATCATGTCATGCATACATTCACAGGCTCATTTAGTACTTAAATATGAAGACATGTTCCAAACTCATGAGAACATAAGCTTACCGTATCACGTATTAAACTATATGTTCCATAACCATTGTTAAAACCATAGAAATTTACTTTAAACATCCAGAAGTACAATTGGTCTCTTCTTTAGCACTCTTTAGAAATGGAGGGTTGGGGGTTAACAATTTTCCATATACATTTCATCAAAAACTCAAGTGTAAATGATGTTTAAGCCAAGGCAAAACAGATGACAGGATGACTGTACTTTCACATATTTTCAATTACATACTTAAACAAATAGATTTATCAATCACATGCTTCATTTTTCGAAATCATATAGCAATGCCATCATTATCATCTAATCATAACCACATAAACTAACATTAATGGTAAATTTCGGACAAGAAGATGAGGTAAAGACCAACTTGATGGAAGGAATATTGACATCTTAACGATAATTGATGATTTACGTCATCTAGTTGATAAAAGTTGGGCGTAAATGAGCAATTGACAATTATTTGTATAAGCATGTAATTGATAATCCTTGTTCAAGCAAGACATCTTGTTAATGAAGTTCCATAACGCGTTCCTTCTACGCGATGTCCCCAATCGGTGTATAAGATTTCATTTTCTTGGACTTGGAGTGCAATAATTTTACGCGATTGACATTCGATCGTAAAACGTGAAGATAAAATTTAGTGACAAGTCTCCAATCGAGAATACCATAAGTTTACTCAAAGTGACGTTGAACTTTGAATCTGCACTAGTAAACCCTAAAAATCAGAATTTTCATCGAATCAAACTTAGCGTGAATTTACAAAAAATCAAGTTCAGCGTGAATCGATACACATGGACTGATAAACCTAACAACTTATTAATACATATCGAGCACACACACACAAAGACAGAGAAAGAGAAAATTATACAGCTTCTGGTTTTCCGATGAGTTTGGCGACGGTGGAGGTGGCTTCGGAGAGGATGGAGGACGTGTCAATGGCGTCCAAGTTGACGTTGGTTGACAGATTCAGGCACGGCATCTTGGACAACACACTAACAATTGGCTGCCTTCACACAGTAAAACAAAACCCTCCAAACACACCCACCCACCCACCTCACCTAACCTAACCTTAAACTTGGCCATATTTTTGAATTTGGCCACTAATCTTTTAGTTAATTTCAATTTAGTCACTAATATTTTAATTGTTGTAAATCTGACCACTGAAGTTGTCAAAATTTGATAATTTTAGTAGTCTTATCACAATTTTAGTACAAGTTGTTAAATCTGGCATTATTTTTCATCAAAACCTTTCACAGTTTGTTTGGAAGGGAGGATTTGTTTACATGGCTATTATCAATCTTATTTTATACTTAATATTATTAACCTTTTTATTTTTATAATACATAAATGACACCGACTTTATCCATAAAAAATTTATATTAAAATTTTGGTTATACAAATTAATCTACTTTTAAACTTAGGGGTCTTTTACCAAACACGTACCTGATAAGTACTTACCGATAAAATTTAACGTTATTATTTACCTACCGGGTAAGATTTTAGTCCACCAAAATGACATCGTATACAACAATTTATCCAATAAACGCTTACCGTGGTAAGAGTCGTTGCCATCACTTACCAGGTAAGATTTTTGGTCCTTATCTCGTTCTTACCGGGTAAGATTCTTGGTCCTTACCATATTCATCCGGTGAGGTAATGTTATTTGGTAAACGCTTACTTGGGTAAACATTAGGTAAATGGCCCCTTATATCCCAAAACTTTAGTAGTAGAAGGATTGAAACCAATTGCACAATCCAAATGGATTTATCACAACCTAGAGCATATACAAGAACAAATTTAAGTTCATAAAGTAAATTTATCTCTTTCATTAAAAAAATCGAACAATTGGATCGTAAATGATATGGTGTAATTGAACAATTTGGTGTGGTTCTTGGATAACATGGCTCAGATCTTGGATCCATAAATCAAACCTGTTTAATCGATGGTAACCTTTGATTGAATATTACTGATCAAGTTTCTTGAATTAGTTGTTCTGGTTTTAGATATGTCGATAACAAAGTGCGTATGTTTAAATCGTTTAAAAACTAACAGAAAATAAGTTGCCTTAGGAAAAAAACCTCAAAGAATTTTTATTTGTTAATTATCTTTTTTTTTTTAAAAAAAAAATGTTAATTTGGTCAAAGAAAGACAACTTTACCATGTCAAAAGACATGGTCTAGAGACATTTCATAAATGCATACATTTATTAGCTGCCAAAAATTTAGTTTAGATTTTGGTCAAATCAACGGTCATAAATGTTGTCTTAGAATCATTTGGTCCTAGGTTTTTGTTCTCTTATGCATTTGATTGTTATTACATAATAAACCTCTTACTTATACAATTTATTTTGACTATTTTTGTTAACAATAACAAAAAAAATAGTCATTTCATCTTTCGTTTCTATTTATAAATTTTATAATCAAGTTTTTTTTTGTTTGAAATATATATGTTTCCAATCTTGACTAACTTAACCTGTTTGTCCTTAATCGATAATAGATTTAACAGATCAGGGTAGATTTTGTCATTAATGAAAAGTCAAGCTGCTTGGAAAGAAGGAGGACTACGCCTCACTTTTAAGAAAAGCTAAAGGGTGGCGGAGCTATTTCTACATTCTCCAAGGGGCAAAGTTGTTAAAAGCAAATTTATATATAAACGGTTTAACTCTTTATTAGTCGTATCACAATCTCATTTTTCTCACATTGAAATCATTCTTTGAGCTCTTGGTTAAGATTTCTCATTCTTTCGTTATTTGTTTCACATACAGTTGTATAATCGTTTGTTTTGTTCTAAACCTAAATCTTGTTTATTGTATTCTTGTATTTCTTATTTGTTTGAATAATAGCATCGAATGATTCTTTGAACAATATTAGTTTTATCATGGTATCGGAGCACTCAGATACACTCTCTTTTTGATTTCTTCTATCCTTATGATATATGGTTCAAATAAAGGAGTGGTTAGGGTTTCTTGGATTAACAAGTTCTTAAGAACTCATTTACCAAATCCTATCATGATATTTGATTCTGTCTTTAGATTCATTTTTGTTAAAAGGATATGATCGATTGGGTTGAGTATCAAACAGATCTTTTGATCCCCTCTCGAGGTCCGTTTTCTCTATCTGTTAGCTTTGTTTGTTCGTGAGTTTCTCTCAGATCTGTTAGATCTGGTTCTTTCTTTTCCTAAGATATGTCTTGTTATGATTTTATCTGGTCTTAAATCTCGTATAAGTTCTTATATATGCATGTCATTGTTGCTTCACATCTGTTTACGTCATGAGCAGATATGTGTTTGTTCTAATCAGATTCTTTGTGGCTTCTGTTTGATATGATCTATGTCCTTCCAGATCTAGATTGTGTTTCAAGTTTAGCTTCATAGCTTGGTATGATTGTTTGGGTTGAGCTCATATTAGTTCTTTTTGATTTATTGTGGTCACCTTCTGTGACCTTGAATTTGTTGCATTTTTCTCTTTTATTAGATATTTGCTATTAGTTATCCTGTTTATATGTCAGTTAATTTGTTATCTTGTCTATAAGTGTGTCAAGATCTGTGTCCCTTCCAGATCTGGCATTTTTTCTCTTATTTCTTACTGTTGTTGTTATGTTATCTCTGCTTTAAATAACATGTCTATAATCGTGTCAAGATCTGTGTCCTTTCCAATCTGGCATATTATTTTATCATTGTTGTTTTGTTCAGGTGTTTCATGGATCCTTTCCCTTCTGTCTGTAATCCTCTTATCTCTTTTAACAAAAGTTAAAAGGCCACTGTGGCTGTTGTGGTTCCCTGCTTTCAAGTGGTTCTCTATTGTTTTTGTAAGTATGTTTTTATTTGAGGAACTGTGGTAAGATTTGTTGGTTGTTCTTCTTCTTGTATCTGTGGTGTGTTTTGTTGTGTGTATTTCTCCTTTTCTGTTTGGAATTTGAAAAGTTGGCTTGACCTAGCATGATTACATTGTTTTAGGAATCCTGCCTTTAAGCTTTTCGGTTCCTTCTTGTGTGTTCTTTTTTCTTTATGGATCCTTCACTAGTTAAACCTGCAAGTCCAGTAGAATCCAAAGTCATGAAGTTAGACCTTGGAGATCCATTGTATTAGCATCTGAGTGATACTAGTGGAGGTTTTATCTTGTCTTTTAAGCTGAGTGAAACTGATAACTATAAGGTTTGGTTTTGTGCTATGATATTGGCTTTAGAAACCAAAAATAAAATAGGTTTCATTGATGAATCTTGTCCGCGTCTTGTGAACGACCCTGTCTTATAAAGGCAGTGGGATCGTTGTAACTTTGTGGTTCTCTCATGGATCTTAAGTTACATGACTGAGGACCTGTTTTTAGGTCATGTGTTTTCAAAGGAATCCTTTCAAGTTTAGGAGGAGCTAAGGGAAACTTGTTGGGTCATTGACCAACATCTTCCTAAATCGAAACGTGGCACTAGCTGCTACGCTATAAGAAAATAAGTTGCGCCTTCTCCACCAGCAATTGCTTTTGCCGTAGTGGTAAGCGCTTGGATCCTAACATGTGGTATCAGAGCAGGTCACGGGTTCGAATCCCATGAAGTGCATAATGATGCGAAAGGCATGTTGTGCAACCATTGACTTCTAGCAAAGATCTTATTAGTGCTGGCAGATGCTCTGGGGGGGGATTGTTGGGTCATTGACCAGCATCTTCCTAAATCGAAACGTGGCGCTGGTTGCTACGCTATAAGAAAATAAGTTGCGTCTTCTCCACCAACAATTGCTTTTGGCGTAGTGGTAAAAGCTTGGATCCTAACAAAACTCTTAATAAAGTTGATGGTTCAGTTACCTTTAATCTTTATCAAAAAATCAACTCTTTAAGCCAAAATAACTCGTCTGTTTCTGAGTATTATCATAAACTAAATTCCCTTTGAAAGCAATTTGATGCTCTTGTAAAACTTCCGTCTTGTACTTGTAAAGCTTCCCATAATTTTTTGGAGCACAGTCAATTGATAAAACTCATGCAATTTCTTATGGGGTTAGATGACATTTATCAACCTATCAGGAGTAATATTTTAACTAGAGACCCCCTTCCTTCTGTTAAGACTGCTTTTTCTCTTGTTTCAAGAGAAGAATCTCATTGGGGGGGNTTTTTGGAGCACAGTCAATTGATAAAACTCATGCAATTTCTTATGGGGTTAGATGACATTTATCAACCTATCAGGAGTAATATTTTAACTAGAGATCCCCTTCCTTCTGTCAAGACTGACTTTTCTCTTGTTTCAAGAAAAGAGGGGGGGGGGGTAAATCCAAATCAAAATCGTTAGAAAACTTAAAATTCTATTTTTTTTTAGTAAAAGTCTTGATAACAGAAGAAAATCAGGAAGAAATCCCACTACTCTAGTTTGTAAATACTGTGGCAACACATGACACACTATTGAGCGTTGTTTTAACTAATAGAATTTCCTAAATAATTTTAAAACAGACCCAGACCTCAAAATCAAAGTCAAAATTTTAAACCTCAAAATTCTAATTTCAGACCCACTGCTGGAAATGTTTATATTTCTGAATTTGTTTCTCCTAAACCGTCGTTCGCTTTTTCAGAAGAACAGGTTGCCAAAATTTTGAGCTTAATTGATCAAAAACCTACCCGTGACGGAGCTACTGCCAATATGGCAGGTATGTTTCAAAATTCTCAATCAGGATGGATAACTGACTCTGGTGCTAACCAACATATGACTTCAAATTGTTTAAATTTAGAATATATTGTTGATGTTACTGATTTAAATCTAAGAGTTAATCATCCAAATGGGACTAAGGCAAAAATAAACAAAATTGGGAATATGTAACTCTTTTTGACGTTCTTGTGGTTCCCGAATTTAATGTTAATTTTTTTATGTATCCATAAGCTGGCTAGGGATAATAAGGTTTTCATAAGATTTGATGAATCTAAGTGTTATGTTCAGGACTGTCATATAAAGAGTTTTGTGGGGACTGGTAGTCAGAATGGTGGCCTATACTTCTTTGATCATAATCCTACTAGTAACGCTTCACTTTCCTCTAATAATAGTGGTAGGGTGTGTTTTGTCTCTTCTCAGTTA